AGCCATTGGGTGTCTGCTCTGATTGATCAGGCTGTACCACAATGGTTAAATATTTCTTAATGCCACCTCCAATTCCCAGCTTTGTTTTTAACACACGTGTAATTACAAAGTGAAATAAGGAAGAAAAAAAAACTCTGAACCTGACCTCTATTGGGAGGATTGGTCGGGAAAAGCATCACTGAGGAAGAGGCCCTTGAACTGAGATCCAGATGATGGGCTGGAGCTATTTGGTGGACACAGAAGGTGGAACAGAAGATTAGCACATCTGAACCCATAGGGAGTCAGACCATTTCGTGGATAGAGTTTGTTTGACTCCTCTCAGGTGAAATGGTGGAGAATTGAGAGCAGTGAAGCCTCTTCTGAGTTTGTTCAGGCATCAGCCCCTGCTATGGTCTGAATGTTTGTGTCCCCCCAAAATTCCCATGTTGCAATCCTATTGCCTGAAGTAACGGCATTAGTAGATGGGGCTTCTGGGAGGCCCCCAGGAAGGTGGAGCCCTCGTGAATGCAATTGGTGCATATGTAGGAGCTCCAGAAAGCTCCTTAGTGCCCCACCATGTGAAGATGTAGCAGAAAGGCCTGAGCTTGTGGATCTGGAAAGAGGGTCCTCACTAGAACGCGACCACGATGGTGCCTTGGACTTGCCAAGGACTTCCCAGCCTCCAGAACAATGACAAAGAAACTTCTGCTCGTGGTAAGCTCCCCAGGCCTGTTGTATTTTGTTATAGCAGCCCAAACCGACTATGACAGCACCTCTTCTGTGGGGCAGGAGGGACTGGTAGGATTCACATAACAAGAGGTGATGGCTCAAACCGCTAACTGCTGAAGCCTCAGTACTGCTGTGCATCATGGGGCTTAGAAAGAATGTGCACAGCAAAGGGCCTCACGACCAGCAGAACAAGCCCAGACAAGCAGTCCATCCAACTCTGTGCACACGGGCAAAAACTGCCATTTCACATGGGGGATGCCCCTCTTCACCAATGAAAAACCCTATAAGCTACGAAAATGTGGAGACATGGCTGAGCCAAGTCATCTCCTCCCTTCGCCCTTGGCTGGGAGACCTTTAATTAGAATTACAAGTTGATCAGTCAGGACTTGGAACAGAATCCACTCCGGCCAGTTTAAGCAGAAAGCACGTATAGAATCTCCAGGAGAGCCAGGGGATGAAGCTTCCAGACTGTACAACTTGGAGCCAAGCCCCAATTAACCATGTCCGACCACCCAGCAGAGATCCTGAGCCCACCACCGGCACAGTCACCTCGGACGGAAACAGCCGTGTCACCATTAGGACCCCACCCACTACTGTCCTTTCCTCTGGACAGTCTGACTCCTTGGCCACAAGTCCCCTGAAAGGAAGCCTCAAGCACGTGCACCCAACTGGTGAGCTTTACATCAAGTGTCGGCATCCTGGCTTCAAGGGCAAAGGGGGAAGCAGACTGCTAGCTTCTTTCTTGGAGACGTAGGACTTAAAGGGTGAGAAGGCCCCCAGGCGTATGAAATGTGCTCCAAAGGAGCTAGACCTCACCCTTTATGCTGGAGGTCTGTAGTCAAGCCTGGAGGCATTGTTTTCCAAGAGGGGACAGAGCCAGAGCCTCCATTGTCCTGTTTCTTATCTATGAAACAGAGCCACCTAAGACAAAATAAAACCCCCTTTGTCTGGCAATACTTTACTTCCACTCAGGCCCGGCCACATGATTTGCAGGGCCCAGTGAAAAGCGCAAATGCTAGGTTCCTTGCTCAAAAATTTAAAATTTAAAAGACAGAAACAGAAGAGCATTAGACCAAGCTGGGCCCTTCTGAGGAGGAGTCCCTGGGCCCCTGCACAGATCACATGCCTTTGAGGCTGGTTCTGCTTCCTCCCTCCTCTGTGGCCGGTAGGATTGTATTGTTTGAACCCTTGTCTAATCTAGCGTTGCTAGACATAATGGGAAGAGCGGGGAACTCAAATGATATTCTTGATAACACAGTATCTAGTGAGGTCTGGAAACCTCTTAGAGTTCATTTTGGGAGTGTCACGCTGGAATCTACACAAGGAAGAAGAAATCATGAAACTCCAAGGCCTCAATGAGAAGAAAAGTTCCTCTGGCAAGCTTGTTCATCCTGCCTGATCTTGTAACAATGCCCTACTGCCTGTCATAGGATATGGGTTGTCACGGTGCAGGAACTGGGGCAGGATTTTGAAACACTCCAGAGATTTCCTTTCTTCCTTCTTGTCTTCCTTCTTTCCTTCCCTCCTTTCTCTCCCCCCACCCCACCTTCTTATATAAACCTTGGCCAAATGTTTGGCCAACCCCCTTTGAAGCTAAAGGAAGATATCCGCAGTCTGATATTGTATGCCGAAGGCTACAAGTGGCTAACCTTTATATAAAAATAAAAAACACCCCCAAATTCAATCACCCACACCAGGTTTCTCAAAAAACCCATGGGACCTTAGCTACTAAAATAGAAATCTGGACACTGGTAATGGCCAGGCTCATATGCATGGAAAACTCTTGTTTCCATGTAACTGTAAGTCTAATTTCCACCTGCAATGCTCAGGCAGTTTGAGTAGGGATATGACAACATCAGCCCTTGGAAGTGAGATAGAAATTATGTTACCCTGACAGGTGTCGTTAAGCATGCAAGCAAGAGAGGTGCCAGTATGGACAGGAGAGAAGTCCAGTTTGGGAGAAAGAGACTGTTTTGTGTCAAAGTGCAAGGGAAAAGTAAAAGCAAAGACGATACGTGGATAGCAAGGTTGGAAATCTACTGAGAAAGGAGTCCGTTCAGATGGTTCTGAAACAGAATCTAGGGATCCTTAACATTTGTGGGATCTTATTTAGTACAGCAGATGGGCAAGCACTCCAACTCTGGTTGTAGAAACTCCTTTCCACTTACTAGCCTTGTGACCTTGAGGAAGTGTCAAGCCTCAGTTTTCTTGTCTGCAAAATGAGATAGTAATGATAACTATGTGAATGATTAAATCATTATCAGGCATTTACAACAGTGCCTGGCTGATGATAAGAACTCATGAAATGCTAGCTATGGTCATGATGATGGTGATGATCATGAAGGTAGCTGATGACACTGGTTAAGGAAGTTAGCTGGTCTCTCCTGCCAAATCACCAGCAATGGGCCAATGAGCCGGTGGATGCCACGAGGGAGGGGTAACGGTGGGAGAGAAGGAAACAGGAAAGAAAGAGATGGGAGACAGAGGGAACTAGTCAAGAGGCTTTGATGTCATTCCCAGGGAGAGAGATGAGGCCAGCCCAGGGCAGTCTGAGATGCTCTTTAGCTATTCATGGGGTTGTTATGTGTGTCTATGTTATACACAGTGATCATGAGGCTGTTCAGTTTTCCAACTGTATAGGGACTATTTGGTCAAGCGTCCACAAAAACTGAGGAGAGACACTGCCAGGGGGGCCTCACCTAGAGATGAGGGGCACTGGGGTAAGAGAGAAAGAGCCCTGTGCTCAGGGTTACACATTTGAGGAACAGCTCTACCGCCCTCGGACAATCTTTTTTTCCCCCTTACAGAGATTTGCAGGCCCTGCAGGAAGTGAAAGAACTCCCGCTGCCTGTTTCTGGGAACCGGGGCATCAGAATCAGGGAGTTCTCATGTCTGAAACCCCCACACATGCTTTAGGTAAGAAAAGGAATGAGGAGAACAGAGAAGTGTCTGTGACAAGCTTTTGGTTTTATTTTTGTCTTCTGGAAATGTTTTGTGTCAAGACAAAGTACCACACACGTATGATACGTGCGTGTGTGTATATGTGTGTGGATATCTCCCTTTCTGATTATAAAAGTAACACATACTCATTAGAGAACATCCGAGAAACACAAAAATGCCAAAGTCAAAAATAGGAATCACTGATAAGACCACCACCCAGAGATAATTGCTCTGCCTTTGAGTTTATTACTTTTTCTTTCATTCGTTTACAATATGCATATCGTAATAGAATTTGTTAAATTTGTATTATATTTTAGAAGGTTTTATATCTCACTTCTTGTACTTATTGTTGACATTTTGCTATATCATTAAATGTTCTTTGAAAACATTTCAGTTACACACAGTGAAATTTACTCTTTTTGATATACGGTTCTAAGTGTTGACAAAGACATAGATTCACTACCACAATCAAGATACAGAACAGTTTCTCCCCCAAAATTCCCTCACACTACCCCTTTGTAGTTACCCCCTCCCCCTAGTCCTAACCCTTTGCTACCACTGATCTATTCTCCATTCCTACAGTGTTGCCTTTTCCAGAATGTCATATAAGTAGAATAATACAGTATGTCGCCTATTGGTCTGGCTTCTTGTATTAGCACATTTGAGTGTTACTCATGTAACATTTTCTTTCTGACTATATAGAGAGTGTTGCTGAGTATTGTATAGATGTACTACAGTGAGCCCATCCGTTCACCAGCTGAAGGACATTTGGATTGGTAAACATGACTTTTACCAGTTAAACGCAATTCTAACCTACAGATATACCAAACCATATGAAAACAGTTCCCTATTATTGGACATTATGAGTTTCTCCTCCCCATTATACATAACCATTAAGTGAACACCTTTATTCATAAATCTTTGCACGTCAAATATATATACATTTATAGAGTGTATATATATCTTAAGCTATCAATAAGCAAGCAGTGTGCCTCACAGGGGATATAGGAAAATTCAGAAAAAATATAAAATCTAATTCTACTAGAATTTTCTAAAAATATTTTATTATGTAACAATAGTCTGGGTCTCAATGCTTTATACAATATGACACAAGAAACTAATAACTTGCTTTCATTCTAATGCAGCAATTTTAACCTGCTAAGTAGAACTAGACTAATTTCTTGTCTCTGAAATCCCGAGCTTGTGTATCATTGAAAACTTTAACATTTTTTCCCAGAAGGAAGCTTCTTTAGACAGTGGAACCACCTGGTATGCACAGAACAAGACGGAGGAATGCGCAAGGGCGGGTTTCAGAGCTGGGGGATGGTAGGGCAGCACAGCTGGGCTTCCAGTCACAGTTGAATAACTGAAGCCAGAACCACTAAGAAAGGAATGAAGAGGCTGGCACCATGTTCTGCACAGAGGGGTGGGGCTTCTCTTCGAGTGGAGGTTACTGCTCTGCAAATTAAAAAGGAAAGAGAGAAAATTTCAGTATTGGTGTGCAATGCCTACTGTCAAAAATATACATGCATGTTGGGGCGCCTGGGTGGCGCAGTCGGTTAAGCGTCCGACTTCAGCCAGGTCACGATCTCGCGGTCCGGGAGTTCGAGCCCTGCGTCGGGCTCTGGGCTGATGGCTCGGAGCCTGGAGCCTGTTTCCGATTCTGTGTCTCCCTCTCTCTCTGCCCCTCCCCCGTTCATGCTCTGTCTCTCTCTGTCCCAAAAATAAAAAAAAATAAAAAATGTTGAAAAAAAAAATTAAAAAAAATATATATACATGCATGCTGCAAAAAAAATTGAAATAGTGCAGAAAGTTAACAAGTGACGAGTAAAAGTGCCTTCGACTCCCCCATTCTTGCTTTCCACAGAGAATCATTGCTGACGGTTTGAACTGTCTTCCCAGGAACGTAACACGTATGCATACATTACACATGTTCCCACACACACCTTCACACACCCTTTCATCTGAGTACAAATGCAACCTGTAATTTTTTTCCCCTAACATCATATTTTGGACATACTTTCATATTGTACGTATGAGTTAATTCATTCTTCCTCATGGATGAATTCTTACTGTATGGATATACCATAAACCTAGCCAACTTCCCTACTGATGGACATTACACTGTCAGAGTTTAACTGGCGTGGAAAAACCTATCTTGACTTAAAGACACCAAGAGAGGACCCGGCCAAAAAAAATGGACTCTGGTCGGGGCTCCTGAGTGGCTCTGCTGGTTGAGCATCCGTCTTCAGCTCAGGTCATGATGTCACAGTTCATGGGTTTGAGCCCTGCTTCGAGTTCTACACAGAACTTGTTTGGGATTCTCTATCCCTCTCTTTCTGCCCCTCCCTTGCTCTCTCTCTCTCTCTCTCTCTCTCAAAAATAAACACACAAACAAAACATGGACTTGTCATAGCAAATAGAGTCTGACCACTGACTGGATTTTTTAAAACAGAAATTACTGAATTTTTAAAAACCAATTCAAAGATACATCTTTTTAAATCATGAAACCATCGAATGTTGGCTTGGAAATTTATCCCATGGTTTGGGACTCCATCTGAGTGCTGGTCACCCCTCATTCACTAATGTTTATTGCAGCATTATTTATAATAGCAAGATATGGAAGCAACCTATTGATGGATGAATGGATAAGGGAGACGTATTCACACACACACACACACACACACACACACACACACAC